AAAGTTAATATCTGGTGATTCACCATATCACAGAATCTTGAAAGACTTTCCTAAAGTACTGAAGTTAAAATCCGATTCGTGTAGAGTAAACATAGTACGGTTCATTACATCGAAACAAACGGTCCTCCTGTGCACAGTAAACCGCGTAGGTTAAGCCCTAAGTTATACGAAGCAGTAGTAAAAAAAGAATTTCAATTTATGATAGATCAAGGTATTTGTAGACCATCAAAATCAGCATGGTCATCACCTCTTCATGTAGTTTCTAAAAGTTCGGGCGACATACGGCCAGTAGGAGACTACCGAAAACTAAACGCGTGCACCGAACCCGACAGATACCCTATCCCGCATTTACAAGACTTTAATAATACGCTTAGCGGAAAGACAATTTTTTCAAAAATTGATATCGTTCGGGCATATCATCATATACCAGTCCATCCAGATCATATACCGAAAACTGCAGTTTGCACCCCATTTGGTCTTTCGAATTTCCGTTTTTAAATTTCGGACTGTGCGGAGCAGCTCAAACCTTTCAAAGGTTTATGAACGAAATTCTTGGAGATCTAAAATTCGCCTACGTCTACTTAGATGATATTTTGATATTTAGTGATACGGAAGATGAGCATAAATCTCACCTACGTACTGTTTTTGAAAGATTAACTTCATATGGATTGACAATTAACGCTTCGAAATGTGTGTTTTCGGCGTTCCGGAAATATCTTTTTTAGGCCATATAATCAATAAAGATGGTACCAAGCCTCTGACGAACAAAGTGGAACCGATACTTAACTACCCACTTCCTAAAACGGTAAAAGATTTGCAGAGATTTTTAGGATTTTTAAATTTTTACCGTCGATTTTTACCCAACGTAGCCCAGAATCAAATACATTTAACTTCGTATTTAAAAGGGGCTAAGAAAAATGATAAGACAATCCTGAATTTGTCTGAGGAAGCGCGGAGTGAATTTCAAAAGTGCAAACAGCTAATCGCTAATGCTGTTCTTTTGGCACACCCGAAGAAAGATGCCCAGTTGGTTTTCACAGGTTGATGCGTCAGACTTCGCGATCGGTGGAACGCTATCACAAATAGTTGATAGAAATTTACAGCCTCTCGCATTTTTCTCACGAAAGCTTTCGCAGGCGGAAAGGAACTATAGTGCGTATGATCGAGAGCTATTGGCAGCTTATGCTGCTATTAGGCATTTTAAGCATATGTTGGAAGCACGGAACTTTTCTTTAATCACCGATCACAAACCGCTCACGTATGCATTCCGACAGCGTTTGGATAAGTGTTCACCTCGTCCGGCTAGGCAGTTAGACTTTATCTCACAATTCACCACTGAAATTCGCCATATAAAAGGTTCGGAGAATATCGCTGCCGACGTACTTTCGCGTATAGAAGCAATAAGCATGCCTAACCCTATCGACTATGAGGAGGAAATCGCTAAAATGCAAGAAATCGACCATGCAGAATTACAAACATTGCTTAAAGAGTCAAAAGTTCTACAATCTCAAAAAAAGTTACCTTACCGAATTGTAGCTTACCGATATATTGCGATTGTGTCAACAGGTAACGCCCGTCCTTACATTCCCTCCGGCATTCCGTGAGAAAGTTTTTGCCACCATTGCACAATTTGTCTCACCCCGGCATTCGCGCATCAACAAAGTTAAGTATGTTCACGGTTTGTTTGGTCTTCCATCCGCAAAGATTGCGCGAAAAAATGGGCACGGCAGTGCATTCCGTGCCAGAAAGCAAAAGTAAGCAGGCATACTAGAACCCCGTTAATGAAGTTTCCAGACCAATCACAGAGGATTTGATCACGTCCACCTTGACCTTGTTGGTCCCCTACCTCCTTCTCAAAATAATTATTACTGTTCTAACTATGATAGATAGGATTTACTAGATGGCCCGAAGCAGTACCCATACCAGACATAACTGCACGCACAGTAGCACAGGCTTTCTATGACCACTGGATTACTCGATTTGGTTGTCCGGACTGTTATTACTACCGACCAAGGGCGACAGTTTGAAAGCGGCTTATTTCGAGCCCTTTTCCCAATTATTGGGAATCAAGAGGATCAGGACGTCTCCGTACCACCCACAGGCGAATGGACTTGATCGAGGAATTCCACCGTCCTTTGAAAGCTGCCTTAAAAGCGCACGATACCAGTGACTGGGTGGCTGCCCTTCCAACGCTTGCTGATGGGTTTCCGCGCCGCTCTCAAGAAGAGGACATAGGAGCAACCACTTCTGAACTTGGTGTATGGAAAGACTATTCCGTCTCTCCCAGGAGAATTTTTCAATCCGACACCTCCGGATGCGTTCCCCCAAACAGTTTGTGGAGGATTTAAAATCTCACTTTGCCAGTGTCCGCCCGACCACGACTTCTAGCCACGGTCAGCGAACCATGTTTCATTCATCCACGCCTTCACAAGTCCACATGCATGTGTTTGTTCGACACGACGGAGTTAGAAAAACCACTTCAAACTCCTTATGATGGACCATTTAAAGTGCTAGAAAGACGAGATAAAACGTTTGATCTCGAAATAAAAAGGACTAAGCAAACGATCTCCATAGATAGACTGAAACCCGCTTTTGTAACCATGGACTCTTCTCAAGTTGCTTCCAAGAGTGTGAAAAAAACTTCGGACATTTGTATCACCCGTTCTGGGCGATTAATCCGACCCCCGCATCGGTATGTCACATTTCGTTGACACTGCGGAGGGAGTATGCAGCGGCAGCGCCAAACAGGCGATACGGACTTAAAAACTGTACAGAAAAGCGCCAATTGGTGAAACAGTAAACCCGTTTGGCAAACCTACAGGCTGACGGAGAGAGAAGATTTTTCCCCGGCAGTCAAGTGGAACTACTTCAACAAATGTGTGCGTCTCTGTTTTCGCCGAGATATGTAATCTTGTGTACTCGCATCTGTACTGTGCTCTGAATTTCTTAAGCCGTTATAATGTACCCGGCAACTGTTACTTTTCCTTATTAAATTTGATTATTAATTGTAACATGTCTATCTTAACTAAGATTTCGGCTTTCCTAGTTAATGTTAGGGATATTTTCGTATGCACGTGTTACTCACACGTACATCAATACTACACTGCTGGCCATTAAAATTGCAACACCAGGAAGGAATGATCTGACGATTGTCAAAATATCACACGAAAAGAAGAAAAGTTTGGGATATGAAAATGAGATTAGGATTTCAGTGCATTTAGATGATGCAGAGGGAGAAATTACATTAATAATACTGCATAAAAGAAAAGCTGTGTAGTGGTTTTCTCATTTGGAAAGCACTTTGGTGTTTGCTCAGAATATTGTGCTATGCCTCGAATAATAAGAAATGTTTACCAGCAAGTGTCGGAATTCATTAGAGGCTGGATCATTGCCTATTGAAAGTGTGGATTATCATTACGTGATATTGCCCATCATACTGGTCGATGTCCAACCACTGTCATTCAAATATGAAATCAGTGGGTTGCTGAGGGTCATACTGAATGGCATGCAGATTCTAGACTCCCTCCCATGACTAACAACTGAGGGGACACACATATTGTGAGGTTAGGCCTGCAAAACTGTAAAATCACATCAGAGACGATTAGTCATGAAATGGGCATGTTTGCAGCAAGCCAGGTATCCAATTGTACAGTGTGTTGACGTTTGCAGCAGCATGTGCTATCAGCATGGTGACCATTAATTAAATTTCTTTGACAATGCAGCATAGGGAGACGGCGACTCTGAAGCACCGAATGACAAAGCTGGATACAGGAGTGGCACAATATTGTCTTTCCTGGTTCTGTGTGCAGCATTCTGAAGGCCATATATGTATCCGGAGGCTCAAAGGGAACCGCACATCACCTGCTTGCATTTCGATATGGGCAAAGGTGCCATGCACATGGTGTGATGGTTTTGGCAGCCATTGGGTACACAATGCACATATCTCTAGTTCGGATCATGGTAATTTGAATGCAGATTGGTAGATTTCTGACATCTTGCGTCTTGTGGTTGTGCTCTATCTTTGAGGCCTGCCAGACGCCATTTTCCAACAAGATAATGCAAGATCACAATTAGCATGTTGTGTTGTGACCCTTCCTCAATATACCGTGTGGCATATACTTGAAGCACCATGGAATGAGTTGCCCGTTTCTATCAGTCAAACCCATTTTGACTCCATGCCTAACCGGGTAAAGGCCGTTTTAGCTGTCAGGAGTGGCAGCTGATTCTACTAATATCACACCTATGTAAACCCCCAAACTGCTTACATTTAATCATTTTGTCTTCATGCCATACTGTTAATATACAGTTTTTGTATTTGCTTTCCTTCATAGTGTTGCAGTTTTAATGGCCAGCAGTGTAACATTTTGAGGACAAGATCGAATCTGTACTTTACCAATCCTTTCATTTATAGGTTTGAAGCATTTGATTCTGTCTCTTATTATTCTTGTTATGACAAATCCTACCCCAAATTAGTGCTGCTTGTCCTGACAGCTAATAGAAAACACTGCATCTTCTTTATTATTACTTTCCTCGTGTAAACTGTGATTACCCACAGAGTTCCCCATTAATCTCATGCCAATCTTTGCATAAAAGTTACCAATAATTGATCTGATATCATATGAGGTGCATTTGTCATAGGAGTCTTCAAGTTTATCGTACTTTTAGAGTTGGCGTATTCAAATTCCATCAAAATTTTAGCATGTGTGTTGGAAATTAAACTCGGTTGTTATGGATGCTCAAAAGAAAAAGGAACTAAAGAAAAGAAAAAAAAAAAAAAAAAAAAAGCTGTGCCCTCCCCCCCCATTCAGTTAAAAGACATAAAATAAGTATTCAGTTATTGTGTAATAATGAATTCCAGAGTAGAACTTTGAATGAATCCAGACTTTTGAGAAGCTACATATTAAGTAAGCTTACCCTCTTTCCCCTGCCTGATGAGTAAAGAAATATTAATTCATATAATGCTGACTTTAGCTCCTAATTTTTTTCTTTCCTCCTTAAAGGTATAAAGAGATGACAGAAAAGTTCAAAGTAGATTATACTGCTGGTGGTGCTTGTCAAAATACAATGAGAGTGGCCCAAGTGAGTTAATTTTTAATGCAGTTAAATATTTATAATTGAATGCAGCATAAATTTTGTGTTTAATATTTTTCAGCAGCTGTGAAAATGCTATATGTATCGATTTAATATATATTTATTTTATATTTAATCTACATTTATTTTATTTTATGTTGGCTTATACTTTGAACAAATTTAATATATTATAATTATTAAAACCATAGATAATATTTTTGTGACTGGCTTCTAATAAAATTGACTTTAAAAAGGTGTAAATATTATAATTTAGAATTTTAGGGCCTCAATTATATAATACTAACTAAATGGCCTTCTGATCCCAGTACACTGTCACAATATGTCTGTCCTCTGGGGCATTAGTCAGGGGAGGGCATTAAGATCCTGCATGCTGTCCAGTATGACCCTCGGCAATCCATTGATTCTATATTCATGTGACAGTGCGATGGGCGATATCACGGAACGATAATTCACACTCTCGATAGGCAGCAATCTTGCCTCTCAGATTCCGACATTTGCTGGTAAGAATTTCTTCTTATTATTCGACACATAACATGATACTCTGAGCAAACTCTGACTTCACAAAGCGCTTTCCGAATGAGAAATCCACTGCACAACTTTTCTTTCGTGGAGATCTTCAGATGTCGTTTTTCCCTCCTGCATCATCTAAATGGGCTGAAATACTAATCATTTGCATATCCCAAATTCTTCTTCCTTTCATGTGAATTTGACATTTGTCAGATCATTCCTTCCTGGTATTGCAATTTTAATGTCCAGCAGTGCATATTGAAACTTAAAACATTCCTATGAGGGTTGCTATTTATATTTTTGGCCTTGGAAACAGTAAGTTTTGCTAGGCGACCACAGACAATTCCAGTTGAAAGTTTGATATTTTTAACCATAACTTCTTTAGAATGTTTTGCCATTTTAGTGTGATTTGTGTTGTTTACAGTAAAATAAAAAATTCATTTTGTGCTAAAAATAGAATTGACTTGTGAACCTTTTCGTGCGATTATTTTTCATAACTTTCAACTTGAATTATCAAGACAAGTGCTTCAATGAACTTAATTGTTTATACAGTGATAAAATGCCATCCTACAGCACTGTGTGTAAATAACTGGTATAACGAATTCAATCGTGGTCGGCGTTTGCTCCAGGATGAGTTCCTTGAAGATCATCCAAAATCAGTTGCTGTGACAGAAAATATCGATGCTGTGTGTGAATTGATAAGGTAAGATTGTCATGTAGCATACCATGAGATTGAGGCATCTTTGGGCATTAGTATGACAAGCATCAATAAGATATTACATAAACATTTGGTCATAAAAAAGATTTGTTCATGTTGGGTCCCACATAATGAAGGTCATGTAGTAATTGTTTTGCTATGTAAATAAAATGCTGAAGTCTTTGGGAAATTTAGTTGATGTTAGAAAACTGCAAAATATCTCTGCAATGTAAATTTTGTAAAATGTATAATAAACTCTATTAAATATCTCTAATATTTTAAAACCATAAAAAACTGTGCAATGTATGTAATCTATTGCTAATAGAAAAATTAGGATAAGTGTTTTAAGTACTTAAAGAAGGTGCCTCATTGGCATTTTTGAAGTAATTGAAGGAAGAGAATCAGAAAGTTTAGATTTTAACTAATAGTACTTAACTTGCAAAGATTGTATTTCTGTATTTTTGAAAATGATAAAGCCATTTTTTACATAGCAAAGTGCTTCATTCATACATCACAAATTTAAAAATTATCAAAAATATTGACAAGTTTAATACATAATCAAAAATATTGTTTTGTCATAAAATACATTTTCTTATTAAATTTACCAAAAATATGACAGAAGCGTACTGTTTTGTAGGGGCTTTAGTCTTTCCATACTGTGGTTTTACTCCTCTTAGAAAAAATTCTAAAAATTATGAAATGTAATTTTAGTAATAGTATTATATCATAAACTAGTCAATTTATAGATGACCTTTGATTAAAATTATGCTGAGTATATATTAAATTGTTTTCTAGCGATGTATAAAACTTATAAATTTGATGATAATTGTTTAAAACAATATAAAATAAAATTTCTTGCTTTGGTTTTCAGAGGATCTCTACTTCCCCTTTTTTGATTTCTGGAGAAGATCACTGCAAATTTAATGATTTAAAAAAAAAAAAAAAAAAAAAAAAAATCCCCACAAACCTGTGATTTTGAAAATCAAATTGGTAGCAATGTTGTAGTGTTACAACTGATAAATTAACTACAGCTAAAATGAGCAGGGATAAAAAAGTGTCAAAGTAGGGAAGAAAAAACTCATTACTTCTACACTTTAGGCTGAACTAAAACGTCTGTTGAAGGCTTGTAATATTTTTGTCGAATGAAAAATTAGTAATAAATATTTTTTATCTTAAAATGCATTTTCATAATTTGCTTCTAAAATGTAATAAAATATGAATATGATAAAAGTAACTAGATATAAAATTACATGAAAATATTCAGAAGTGCATTATAAATTTTAATTATCATTTTTTGATAATGTTTATCTTTGTTGATATCGTGTGTCAGATTTTTAAAACAGTTTTCAATTCTTCCTTTGTTTTAGTTATACTTTATGTATGGATTTTTATAGCATTCCATGAAATGTATTTTTACTGTATTGAAAGTATTGTTCATTTTATAGGCAGTTTCCTTTTTTAAAATATTGTTGTGTGCGTACGGGTTCGTTACGAAATGAATGCACAAGTCCGATGAAAAATGAACAAAAATTTATTATTATCACAACAAAAATGCTTAAATCTTCTCAAATTATCATGCAGTATTACAATATCTCGCAGTAGTTATCTTCTAACTACTCAAATGTCCAATAGAACGTAATTCAAAACAGCTAAAGAACGCTAATCCGCGAATTCGCTACAATCAACAAGAGCAGTTTTTCTAAACAAAAACAAACTAAGCAACTACTACAAACTGAGATGTTTCCTCCTTTTATAAGATTTTAAAATCACGCGCTAGAATTTTCCAGTACTTTCTCGAAATCAAAAAGAGATATTTATTTATTTAATGCACGCGCTCTTGTATTTTCAATTTTCCGGCTTAGCTTTCTTTTAATATTCGTCACGCGCTGCACTGCGCGAGAAATAAAACCATTTAATTTATAATTGAACTAACATTAGCTTTTTAAATACCAAATTCGTAACACTGCCCCCTTCCCAAGGACTGCACGTCCCGGGCAGTACAATCCCTGGACAGGAAGCTAAACTTACAACTGTGGCATAAATGCAACTGAGGCATAAACATTACATTACAATATCAAACAACATGAACAATAAATGCAATAACTAACTTAAACAAATCAAATGCTATCAAATACTAAATACAAAACAAATACTAAATACAAATCAAATACTAAATGCAAATCAAATACTAAATAAAATCAAATCAAATACACATTTAAAAACATAAAGGACCATGGTCTTAATACTATTTACAATTATTTACATTACGTACTATGGCCATAGTAATGAGCTAACCTGTCGTAATGACGACTTTAGGTTTAGAGTTCGAAGACTTACGTAGACGACGTCATTCAGTCTGTTTCAGGACTGTATATGGACCATCCGAAGGTGACTGTAATTTAGGACCGAGTCCTTTTCGTTGAATCGAATCGGGTTCCACAACCACACCTTGTCTCCTTTCATTGGAATCTATGTCCAGTAGCTCTTCGTGTTGTATCTGGTCTTCACTTTCTCCGTCGCCAAGTTCACTCGCTTTCGTGCAAAACGGTGCATCACTTCAAACGGGCCTGGACATCTTGGATGTGTTCCTCAGGCGATGAAGGCGCATCCGTAGGGCGATCAAACAGGCGGTCACAAGGCAGACGAAGGTCTCGACCGAAGAGCATCTGGGCTGGAGAATAGCTGGTAGTCTTGCGTTTCTTTTCGACCCTATTATGATTTCGGCAGCTTCCGAGCTGGATCTTTCGGACAAGGCATCGGCATTTCCAGGCGAGGATCCTTTTGAGGATGGATAGTCATGCCATCAGATGCTGAAAGCAGTTTGTTGTTTTTTAAGTCTAAGGAAAAATTGTATTTCCTTAAAAAGTCCAATCCGAGTATGCATGGATCTGTGATATCCGCCACATATGCCGTGTGATGGTAGGCGGCACTTCCAAACGTGATGCTCACGTTTAACTTCCCAGTTATGTCGATCTTATCACCAGACGCAGTCTGAAGGGTAACACAGGATGGCGTCCAAATAAGTTTATCTTTAAACTGTTCAGCGAAATCTTTCCTAATGATGGTAACATTAGCTCCTGTGTCAATGATCATATTGCAAGGAACTCCATCGATATTCCCATTAGATGGACAGTCCTCACGTATACTGTTGCCACTCACTGTATAAATCTTAAGCGCTTTAAAACAGGGTTTTTCATTATCTGGCAAACCTCCGTTCCTTGATATGGTCACTAATTTGTTTACTTGCGTTCTTGTTGCTGGGAATGGTCTTATTTTCCGTGCTACCTCGGGTGTTCTGCAGTTTCTTCGTATGTGGCCTTCAACTCCGCAGTTCCAGCACTTTAGAACTACTTTCTTTTCACTTCTGTTCCGTCTCAAGCCACTTACTTGTCTGGTAAAATCATCTGCTTTATATTCCGTACCCTGGGGTGTTCTGCAATTCCGTTTTAGGTGACCTTCACTACCACATCTCCAACACCTTAAAGCCACTTTCTTCTCACTCCTACTCCATATCAAAGTGTCCATTTGTCTGGCTAAATCATCTAAATGAGCCATCAGTTGATCCACTGGCTCATGGACTCGCACAGCTCTAACTGGGTAGCGATCTCTATTAGTTGCTTCCTGGGCTGCCTCAAACTTCATGGCGTACAACAGAGCGCTTTTCAAATCTTTAACATCCGCCATTTGCAGTGCTTTCTGTATTTCAGGGTCCCGGATGCCATCGATGAAATATTGCAGGACAGGAATTTCCCTTGTTTCTGTCGGGCACTCCGAAAAGGCGTGA